TTAGGAGACTGATACTTGGGTCCCCCTCCAGGCATTACTTTGCTGGGAAAAAAGGCTGCTGTTTCATGTTTTGTGAGCCAAATAGTGATATGTCTGTTTTCTTTTTGCTCATTAAACTCAGCTGTCTCTGGAACGATAGGATTACAGGCGTGTGTCCCCATGCCTCTCACAGGATAATTTGGTGTAATCTTCAATATTCAAGTATTAAGTTCTTGTTTTTAAGGTTTACTTACCCCTTTTAAATTATGTGTATGTCTGTGTGGATCTGTGCAGTATATGAGTTCAGGCTCCCACAGAGTCTAAATTAGGGTTCAGATTCCCCGGAACTGGAATTTAGAGGTGGTTGTGAGCAACCTGATTGGATGTTGGGAGAGCTGTACACACACTTAACAATTGAGCCATCTTCTCCAGCTTTTAGTAAATGTATTCTTATGAGATTGAATGTACCTTAGCAATCCGGTAAGCATTAAAGAGTGAGAGTTGATAGTTCATCTTATATGGCAGACATTGTTGAATTCTCTGGGGGCTGATTGCTATCTGCCCTGAATTGATGTCAGAGCCTGTCCTAACTATTCTAGTTCCTCCTTTCTCACTTCCTTGAAATTCTTTTGTCCTCCCTTTTTGTATCCTTCCTGTGACTTGCATACAAGTCTTTAAATCAAGTTTTATGAAAAATTCAAAGAGGCAGGTGAAGGTAATGTTGGATGGGTCAGTGCTGGAGCAGAATGGCTCATGTGGGCCTGGGTGAGCTTCCTCGTTACCAGAGTACACACTGGGCACACGAGTTCCTAAGTGCCACCTTTGACCTACTGACACAGAACCCTAGGAGACTAGGGCTTTGGAATCTACTTTCTCAAAGGCATGGTGTGATTGCTGTGCACACAGCCGGGCTGGAAACCAACTGATCTGGAAGTCTCATTCCAAAAAGTATACCTGAGTCCAGCTTCTTTGGAGGCGTTCTTACAGCTGTGTCCTGAAAGGGAACAGATTCAATTGTATTGTACAAGTGTAAATATTTCTGAAAGCAGCACATTTATCTAGTCCTGCTAGTTTGACACTTGGTGGCTCTCATGCTCTTAATGACAGCAAAGGGGAGATTATTTGCTCTGGTGGCTGCATGTGCTAACAATAAAGGCTGCTAAAGTTTGGACTATAGTTTCAAATCTTTTTTTGTTTGCACTTTCCTCTGGGGTGTGCATGGTGGTGGTTTGTATATTACATAACTTATCTGTCTATCATTGTCTTGTAAATGTTGACGGGGAGGAACTGTGTCTTTATTCCTCTTGATATTCATAGCATTTAATGGAATGCTCTAAAAGTTCTAAATCCATCTTTTGACAGCGTGCACTATCTTCAATAAAAGTTTTGATGCATTGCTTAAATGGGAGTATAGAGAACTATGTTCTGTGTTTCTACTTTTTCTCCTCTCTCTTGGATCCTATGTTCTTTTGAAGAAAATCCTATAAAAGCTTCTTTTTTCTCTTTTAATACCACAGTGACCCTCTTGACCATCTGTCCTAGGAACTGTCATTAGTAGAAAGCATTGTTACCTATCTGTAAGTCATGCCCCTTACTTTTTAGCAAGTTGAACACAGAATCACAGAAAAAAGGGTGAGCTTTTGCCTTAGGAAAAGAGTCCTAATGGCCTTCAGTTACCACTTAGCCAATTACCAGTGGTCGTGTGAACAAAGCCGTGTGTATTTTAGTATCAGTAGTGTTATTCTGGTCCACTGCTGTAAAGCATTAAAAACACATTAAGTCATATATCTGAAACCTCAAAAGTCACATAAATGTCTAAAGCAGTATGCTCTTTACTTTTTTTATTTACTTTTTTGGGTGGGTGTATATAACCCTAATAATTACTATTGGTTTATTAGTTTTTTAACCATGCTCTTAGTTGCTTCCACTTAATAATCCTTAACTTTTCCTTCTTGGAGTGGATGTTCGCAGTGCTGCTCATGCATTGATTGACACATGCAGTTCTGACTTTCCCCAGGAAGATGTTGTAGACCGCTGCTGGTTCTGCAGTGTAACTGCTTCATTTACAGGTGTCTTGGTTAGTCAACACCTACAGTATTAGTATAAGGAAGCTATCTTTGTTAACCTCCCCCAAACAACAATTAAGGGCATTCCCATTTCATTTTGTGTATTCAGAAGTAAGCCCAGAACCCTACTGAGCTCTTGAGGATTTTGTGCTAGTCATTCTCTTTGGCTCTCAGCAACTTCAAGTCAGTAAATGGTCTTCATTTTCTAAGTGTATATGCCAAATCCACAGGCCTCTAGTCAGAGTAAGCTTCCTAATGATAGGACTTGAATTGAATATTAAATTGAGGACTGGGGAGATGTTTCAGTGGTTAAAATGCTGCTAGTGCTGGTTTAAGAACAGGACTTTGGGTCGAGAAAAGGCATGTAAGCCAGGTGAGATACTGTGAGTCTGTACTTCCTAGTGTTTTTTTTTTTTTTTTTTTTTTAAGATAAAACCCAAAGCATATGTAGTCTCCTGTAGCTCAGTATGTGCCCTAGGCTGGCTATGAGCTCCTTTAGCTTCTGTCTCCCAAGTGTTTGGATTACAGGGGTCAACAACATATTGACTGTTGTGGAATATTTGCTTACACTGTTAAGATGTGTCTCTGCCTAAGGTGCCTTCTAATTGGTTTAATAAATAGCTACATGGCCAATCTCTAGGTAGGAGAGAATAGGCAGGACTTCTAGGCAGAGAGAGAGAAACTTGGGAATTTCGCCAGCAGACTTGGAGCAAGTCATAAGTGCCATAATAAGGAGAGGTAACCAAGCCACATAGCAGAATATAGACTAAAAAAGGTGGGTTAATTAAATTATAGGAGCTAGTCGGGAAAAGGCCTAAGCTAAGGCGAAGCTTTCATAATAATAAGTCTCTGGGTCATTGTTTGGAGGCTGGCAGTTCAATGATAGTCTGTCAAGAAAGTTTGTTACAATTGACCTTCTACAGGTTTTAGGTTCTAACTTAAAACTTCTCTTAGTTCACTTAAAACTGTCTCTTCACATTGGTAGCTTTAAAAAATCTATCTCTATCCCTTTTTGGGTAATATTTCCATTGGGTAAGTAAGTGGCATATTACTCTAAATGTATCAGCTTTATACGTAATTTCCTTGACTTTGTTTTTTATGAATTCGATCACATGGCATGTTACTCTCAGAAATTGCTACATCCTCTTGTGTCACAGGTGCTTGAAATGACGCCTTTTAGGAGCTGGCTGAGTTGTAATTGTAGGTTAGCAAGTAGATGTGTTTAACCAAAGTCAGTGTGCATAACCCTGTTTTTTCGGAAGGCACACATATAGCAGGTAGGTTTTACACTTGGTTTGAGAACTGTGCAGTTTTGGTATTCAGTTGTAGTATCAATCTCTGGGATGACACTGATTGTAAACTTCACAGGCTTATTTTATAAGTCATATTTTATAACCCAAGATTTTAAACAGTTTAGTACATAGTTCAGCATTATCAGTTCCTATTCTCAGATCAAAGGAAGCAGTTTTAATTCGGCAGGCAGTTGAGTCTGGAAATGGGTGGAGTGGCTGGTCATGATCATTAACACGGTCACCTTCTTTTGTTATACACAGGTTATTTCTGGGTTGTTGTGGGGAGCTGTTAGTTTGTTCCGACTGCTCAGCCCCGAAATAATCACTCAGAAACTGTATTATTTAAATCACTCCTTGGCCAATCACTTAAGTGTATCGCTAGCTAGCTCTTACCTCTAGAATTAACCCATTTCCTTTATTTTATATTTTAACACGAAGCTTGTTGCCTACTGGCAAGATTCCAGCTGACAAATCGCCTCCTGGTGTCTCTCTGACTCGGCCTACACTGTCTAATCTCCTTCAGCCTGGCTTTACTCTGTTAAACCATTGGTCGAAAGCTTCTTTATTCGTTAACCATTAAAAGCAACACATATGCAGAAGGACATCCCACACCACTGGGTCTTTCAGTTATGTTTTTCTTTTCCTTTGGAAGGGACATGCTGGTGAAGGCAGAGACTATGGGGTTCTGTTTACACTGACAGGTTCTTAGTTAAGTTCATCATTACAGTAATGTAATGATCATGAAGCTGTTTTAGTAGATCCACATAAGTACAAATTTTATTCTGTTCAATAAATGTTGAATTTAACTATGTACTATGTATGTGTTAGATGACAGTTGTTAGCACATGTTCTTTTATAAGCATAAATGAATAGATCTGGTTTCTTACTTAGAAATGTTTGACCCTTTCTGTCTTTGAAAACTCTAATGCTCCAATGAATAAGGAAGGAGAATTGGAAATTGAATACAACTACCTGAATACAAATTGCTGCCCTGCCCTTGATTACTAAAACAGATATTTTTCTTCCTAAATACTTGCTTCTTTTGAACTATGCTTTGTGGGAAACTAATTTATTCATTTTCTAAAGTGGCCTTGTTTGTCTAGTAAGGAAATCAGCAAAAGAGGTCTCAAATAAGCTGGCAATGAAATTGAAAAGTGTCTGCCATCACCACTGGTGATACATCAAAGTGATGCTAAAGACGCAGATAATCATTCCAGTGCATTCTTCATCGTTACTAGAATTATTTAAGTTCATTAAGCCAGCAAAGTACTTCATTATTTCTTATGCTGCATACTAATGGTGAATTTAAAGTTTCAGTGTTTTATAATACAAAACATTTTTTGAAAGTTACATTTAAATCTAAGTACTGTATGTCTGGATATTGAGTGGTAATTTTAATTGGATGAATATATTTATTATACCCTGGTTAGGTTATTATTTTGTTAGTTTAATAAAACCAAGTAAGTTTAGTAAATATTTACAACTATTACATACAAGAGAATGTTTGTCCATCTTCTTGAGAAATAGATTAAGACAATATATAATATACTTTTATTGCCCTGACAGGAATGTAATTACCTTCAAGTTAGCATTGTACAATGTACTTATTAACTAAAATAAAGCTATTATAAATTAGTAACTGATTTTTTTCTCACATTTGCAGCATTTAAATATTAAGACACTGACAGATGATATGGTAAGGCTATCCTTAACTTTTCTTTTGTTATCTATTTTAACTAACCATGTACTGTCCTTGACATGCTATACTAACATCCTAGAAAATGCCAAAACCAGCAAGTGCAAGAAATGTGTTTGTAGTGCTAAAACAGGAGCTAGAACTGGTAAAATACATTAAATTGTTGCTTGCATGCTGTGAAAAGGAATAGTCAATATGTTAATATAAAAATTTTGCTTAATTGCAAATTGTTAGTCAACTTTGAATCATTCAAATCAGGTTTCATTCTTTGATGATGGATTGCATACTTCCAAAAGAGGAAGGAAAAGCAGCTGAAGACAAGGAAGCTTGTCAGAAAAATGTAGTTGCTAATTAAAGTAAGCCATGTTGAAATGCCATGCATGTATTTTAGATATTCTGTTGGCATGCTTTACTTTACATTCATGTTAGTAATAGGGCTCTTACTAAGTGATTGCTGCCTTAGCTGTGTAGCCGAATATTGAGAAATACACTTTCTGTACACATACACAAGTTACCTCATGGTTAATGATAAAGGAATGGCAGGAGTACCAGCAACAAACAACAACAAAACCCCCAAGAATCTGTGAGTTCAACTGAGAGGAGAGAACTCAGTACCTCCCTGACCAGGTTTGGTATTCAACATTTCTGATAACAACCTCAAAACAGAGTGCTCAGGAAGAGTAAGCTGTCAAGATGTTTACCACCTGAAGGATCCAGGGTGCTCGCTTTGACACCTGGAGAAGGAGCTGTGTTAAAATGAAAGAAACATATTGACATGAGTGATTTAAAAAAATTGAAGTAGGGTGTTGATATATTTTCTTGAGTAGTATCTAAGAAAATTGTCTTTTATTAAAAAGAAGAGTATATATTTGTATTTTTCTTGTTAACCTTGAGCATAGTCATGTGCCATCTAACACCAGGCAGATATCCTTAAATCCCAGACTAGTCTAATTGTGGCCTTCAGGTTCAGTTTCTACTTGAAGTAACATGGGGAGCAATAGGAGAAGACACCTGAAGTTGACCTTTGACCTCCATGCACATGCACCCAGACACAGTTAGGTAATTTTATCCCCTCGTAAATATCAAAGAATGAACTTAGATAAACTTTGATGATATGGTCTCCTCTACGCTAGGTTGTGTAGTATTCTCCATGCATTCCATCATTGACAGTAGCACCAGATGGAGCGTGGCTAGCCTCGTCAGAAAACAAGAGCAATATGGAGCACTGACATAGGCTATGCAATGTTTTCTCTCCCTGCCATGTAGATGTTATTTTTATTTTACAGTTCAGGACATTGAGGCTGAGACAGGTTTAGTAGCTTGTCCAAGAATGCCTACTAAGCTACAAGTATACTTCGTTTTACTGCCGCTTTGATTTTTTTATGTATGTCTTCTTCTTCTCCCCACACCCCATCTTTGTTTCAGTGAGAATCAAATCCAGGATCTAATGCTCACTAGATAACATGCTAACCCCCAAGGTGCATACTCAGTCTCTATAAATGAATGGCTTCTTAAAGTCAGTAATTAAACGAACTGGAATTTTTATGTTTTATATTTTGATTTTATGAGAATGTACTGTGCTGTAATAGCTTTATTGAGATACAATTTACACAGCATTCATTTCACTCGCTAAAAGTTTATAATTAAGTGGTTTCTAGTGTATTCCCCAAATTGCCCGTCACTATAGTCTATTTTAGAACATTTCCAATATCTTCAAAAGAAAGCTTTGTGCCTGCTAATACTTACTGCCTGTTTCTCTTCAACTCATCCAGCTCTGGGTAGCCACCAGACTCTTCCATGATTTGTGTATTTTTGATATTTCAAATGATCAGAAGAGTCTTTGGTAATTTTTAACTAAAAATGAATGACTATCATCATTTAGTATAATATTTTCAAGGTTCATTCATAATGTTTTATTAATCAAACATGTTCAAGTTACAAAACATAATAGAATGAAAATTTTATATTGTAGGTTAAAAAGATAGCTCAGTTCTAAAATTGCATGCTATATAAGCATGAGACCTAAGCTGGATCCCAGCATCTCTGTCCAAAGCTTCATGGGCGCTTCAGCAGAGATAAGCAGAAAGCCTCACTGGCCAGTCAGTCAGCCTTGCCTATTGGTGAGTTCCAGGGTCAGTGATAGACTCTGTCTCAAAAATTAAGGTGGAGAGTATAGAGGCAGACACCCGAAGTTGATCTCTGGCCTTTACCTGCACACACACACACACACACACACACACACACACACACACACACGCACACACCCTAATCTTTTAAAGACATTTCTGATTTTGTTGTGAACTGCTTTATATTGTCTTTAGATGTAGCCATCTGTAGGCTGCAGGTTGTACGTGATATATTCTTTCACTTTAAATCATTCAATATATTTTTAGATTTATTAACACTTTATACACAGTGCACTTTTCTCAGATCCTGTCCTTTCGTTATATGACCACCCTTGCACACAAAGTCACAGTCTTTACTTTAGTTTTAGAAACAGTCATGGAGTGGCTTCAATAGGCCATTCTAGAAAACATCCTTTGTGTCTGCTATGTACATGGGCTCATTCCTCCCCAGCAAGATCTTTCTTAGTTTTCTTTTTCCTGCTCCCATTCCTGCCTTCTGCTTCTAGCCTTATGCCTGGCTTTGGCAAGATCAAAATACTTGGTAGCTAAGTGTATCTTTACCACTTCAATATTACCTGTTCTCACCAGTTTAAACTTTGGGAAGGTGGAGACAGTGAGACAATATGTGTGCCATACTTTTTTTTTTTTTTGGTACCTGACATGTGGTCTTTTACAGAATAATTGTGTGTTGTTTTATTCAGGGTCTCACTTGATAGCTTAGGCTGGCCTAGAAGTCACTGATCCCAAACTCATAGCAGTCTGCCTACCTTAGCCCCCTGAGCACCAATAGTATTACTGGGATAAGCTACCCTGGCCCAGGTCTCTAGCAAGTGTTAGAATCTGATATTAAGGACCTGCTTTACTTGTTCTGAACATTGGCCTGGCTGGTCACCATTGCCTTGATTCTACTTTCATCTTGGCTGTGCACATGGCTGTCTCCTGGCTGTTTCGCTGGTCTCTTCACCTGGACATCCTTGCTGCAGGTTCTCCTTGACACCCTCCTTTTCTGATCTTGTGCTTTATCTTGTCTCCCTAGCAGAGAATTATCACCTGGGGGGTCTCATTTGGGCAGCTGTTTCCATTCATTGTCTTTGAGGTGGAGAATGTCCTGACTGTCTTGAACAGGAGAAGAACAGATTCTTCTGCATTCTTGATGAATTCAGGGAAAGAGCAGTGCACTTGGAGTCACGAAAGCCCTGTTGGCAGTCAGACTTGCCCTCTGCATCGCTCTGTGGCATTGAGAAACCCAGCATTCCCTTTATCACTTATTTGCAAAGCAGGGCTTCTTACATCTTCACTCCTTTCTCTTAGGGTTCTGGTGGGTTCCATATAGTCTGAAGCGTATTGAAGTGCTGCTGCTCTCAGCTCTGTCCTTTTTGACTCTTTTCTAATTGTCTCCTGGTGTGCAGTGTGCCACATTCACTGCTGGGCTGTACAGGGGATGTGCACCACGTGATAGTTGTGCTGTGATGAGGGAATGGGTGCCTGGATATTTTGAGGACTTTTTAAAGGGAGCCTGGCGTGTTACAGCTCAGGGAAGCATTGCTGCTGGCACTTTGATACAATGTTGGCAGGGTATTTGTAATTACACTTTGATTTCTCCAAAGATATATGCTCCATGTGTGCTTTAATGTAGAATCTCTTAATGTGAATAGCTGTTTGGGGGCAGAACACAAGAAAAATCAGAGGAATAACATTTTCCTGTGGCCATACATTTAAGCAACAGTATCTTAGAAACGTTGGCACTGAAGCAGCATTAGTGTTAGAATCCCATCCCTTTGGCTGGGGAGATGGCTCAGGGGAGAAAGTGCTTGCTGTGCAAGCATGAGGACATTGCTTTAGATCCCAGAAGCTGGGCAAGGAGGCGCAAGTCTGTGCAAACTTAGTGCTAGGGATGCAAAAGTAGGGCAAGTGGCAGGACACGGGTAAATCCTGGGTGCTGGCCTCTGTATGCCTCTGCATGGGTGAGTGTACCTGCATAAATGCATATGCCACACCCCTCTCCTAGACACACAAAAAAAATAAACTTATCCCTTTAAGTTGCATTGTTAAAGGCTGGCAAAGCTGCTTCTCATTTCAGAGCTATTTCGTGAGTTCTCAGAATTGAATTTGGCAGGAAATAGTCTTGTTATAGGAACAAAACATTATTACAGTGGTGGTTTCCCCAACTGTAGATTTTGAGCAGTACCCTTTTAAAACAGATCTGAACATTTGCCACACTTAAGAGAGCAGGTCAGACTTAAGGAAATGCTCAACCTCCATAGCCATCAGAGAAATGCGTATCAAAACAACTTTGAGATTCCGTCTTATACCCGTAAGAATGGCAAAGATCAAAAACACCAATGATAGCTTATGCTGAAAAGGTTGTGGGGTAAAGGGAACACTCCTGCATTGCTGCTGGGAGTGCAAACTGGTACAACCACTTTGAAAATCAGTATGGCAATCTCTCAGAAAATTAGGAAACAACCTTCTTCAAGACCTAGCAATACTACTTTTGGGTGTATACACAAAGGATGCTCAATCAATCGTACCACAAGGACATGTGCTCAACTATGTTCATAGCAACATTGTTTGTCATAGCCAGAACCTGGAAACAACCTAAATGCCCCTTGACCAAAGAATGGATAAGGAAAATTTGGTACATTTACACAATGGAGTACTACACAGCAGGAGAAAATAATGACATCTAGAAATTTGCAGGCAAATGGATGAAGCTAGAAAACATCATATTGAGTGAGGTAAACCAGACCCAGAAGGACAAATAGCATATGTACTCACTCATAAGTGGCTTTTAGACATAAAGCATAGAATAACCAGCCTGCAATCCACAATCCTAGAGAGAACCTAGACAACAAAGAGGACCCTAAGAGAGAC